CGAGCGCCGCCTCGCCCGCCGCCCTCTCGGCGGGGGCCACCTTCGGCCTGTCTCCGATGAGCGAGCGAGACGCCGCGCTGCTGAGCCTCGGCGGCTTCGGCCAGCTCCGGCCGATCTCGGCCAGCCTTGGCGAGCGAGACGACGCGCTGATGGGCTTCGGCGCGCTCGGGCCTCCGCAGGGGGCGCCGCCGTCGGCGGGGCGGTCGGAGAGGGGGCGCCGTGCGCAGGAGGCGGGCGCCGAGCCGGAGATGATGGAGGTGGAGCTTGGGCGGTCTGGGGGGGGTGACGGCGCGGTGGAGGAGGCCGAGGCGGCAAACGGCGGGGTCGGCGGGGAGGAGGGGGAGGAGGAGGAGGAGCGGGGGGCAGAGGAGGGGGGGGAGGGGGAGGCGGCTGAGGCGAGGGAAGGGGGGGAGGCCGCCGAGGCGGAGGGCGAGGAGGAAGAGGGCGAGGAGGAGGAGGGCGAGGAGGAGGAGGGCGAGCAAGGGAGCGAGGGGTCGGCCGGGGCTGAGGGTGGCGCCGATCGTCTCTCGACCAGCGGCGAAGCTGCAGCTGTAATTGATTCTATCTGCCGCCGGACCGTAGGCGCCGATCACGTCTCGGCTGGGGGCAGCGACGGCAGCGACGGCATCGGCGAGCGCAGCGCGGCAGAGGAGGAGGCGGAGGAGGCGAATGCAGAAGGGATGGCGGCGGCGGCGGCGGCGGCGGCGGAAGGCGAGGGACTCTCGCATACTGACGCCGCCGGCTTTAGCGAGGCCGATGCGGAGTCGGAGTCGGAGTCGGAGGCGGAGGCGGAGGGAGGCAGCGTGTCGCTGTCTGGCGGCGGAGACGCGTTGGCGGAGGAGGCGGAGGAGGCGCCCGAGGGGCAGGACCTCCTGCCGGAGCAAACGACCGCGCCGGAGGCGCTGGGCGGGGGTGGCGCAAGCCCGCTTGCCGGCGAGAGAGGCCTCCTCTCCCCCCGGTGCCCGCTCCCTCTGGGTCGTCACCTCCTCCCGCTCCCGGTTGGTAGGTCTGTTCGCTGGCGGGGGCTGTGCCGGCGCTCTTGCGGCGGACGGCGGCGCCGACAGCGGTTTTCCCGTCTGCAACGGCCCCGGCGGCGGCGGCGTGGGCGGGGTGGGCGGCGCCGGCGCCCATCTCGCTGCAGGACGGTCTGGGCCAGCCTCTCTCCAGCATGCGTTCGGGGGCGAGGCGGGGTCGGGCTGGCGGGCCAGCGGCGCGCCGTCTCCGCCACCACCAGCGGTGGCGAGCACCGCGACCGAGGTGCAGGGCGAGGAGGCGGACTTGCGTCAGCAGCACGCAAATGCGGCGAGTGCGCTCGAGGCGCTTCTCTCGTCGGGTTTGCCCGCCGCCGGGGTAGATGCAGACTGAGGGGAGGGGATTTTGCTTGGTGGTCCGGGTGATGTCTGGTCCGATTTGGGGGCGTTACACCCAGCCTTGTACTCGTGGTGGCGTTCTCTGTCCCTGGCCAGCGGCTAGGGACTAAGTGCAGGGGGGCGCGGGCTCGCCTCGCTGCCTCGCCGCCCCCTCCGCCGACGGCGCGCGCGCGACCATGCGCCGGCGCGCGGCTCCGAGTCAGAGTAGGCCGCCAAAAATCGTCGCACTGCACGAACCCGTCTCCGGCGCGGTCTGTTCACTCCCTTCACTGCCCTCGGCCCCTGGGGGGCCTCACTAGCACTCGCTGTGTAGCTTAGGGGCCCCCTAGCCTAGGCTTAAAAGGGTGGGCCCTGGGGCGCCTGCGGCTTAAACGGCTTAAAACGGGCCTGTTTTAAGGCTCTCTGGGCCGCGGCGGGGTCCGTCATGTCGCGCCCGTCCACGGTGAACCACTGCGCGCCCACGAAGCAGTGCGAGATGGGCGTCGCCGCGGGTTCGTTTCGGTCTTGATATGATGTAACTTATTCCGGGGCCGGTGTGCGGGGAGCGAACCTTAACGACCGCCCAGAAGCTTTCTGAGCGACCCAATCGGGCCGGGATCATCAGCATATGTCCCCTCCACAACATCGTGGGCGTTTGAGCGGTATTTGAGGAGCACCGCGACTCTGAAGTTCGGCCGGGTGGTCTGCAGACCCCCCCCCCGGAGCAGCAGAGGCTCCGTGGGGTTGAAAAGTCGACGCTGGGAGTCGCACTCGTCAAACCGTCGCAGGACCACGCGGTCCGCACGTACCGCCCACATCCCCTCCACCGCTGAGAAGGCGCAGATCGACCGCCGGGCCGCGTAGTCGTCGTCAAGGAGCGGTTTTTGGAGCCGTACGAAGAGGTCCCAGACGGGCGAAGATGCGGTTTTTCGACGACCACACGCGATGTGGTATCTGGTTTTTGCTAAAAACGGGCCGCCTAGTGCAGCATCACTAGTACAACACGCAACCACACTGAGAGCTCCACACTAGCCGGTATAGGCGAGCACCGGCGGCCTCACCGTCGCCGCTCGCGGCGGAGCCGACGGCGGAGCCACGGGCCGGTGCGACCTTTTGAGCGCCCATGAGCTCGCCGGGACGTCGCCGATGGCTTGGCGCGCCTCTTCCCGCCAGCGCGGGACGGCCTGCCTACAGGAGGGAGGGGGGAGAGACGGAACTGAGCCCTAGGTTCGTGATCCTGTCGCCGGCAAGGGCTGGGAGTAGAGGGCCCACAGCGTCCTAATCTAAAATCTGAGGATTAAGGATTCAGGCATCGCTTTAGTGAGGCCAAAGTGAGTTTATGGATGTGTGAGAACGATGCGCGACACGAGGAGGCACGCGGACCGACTCGTCGGCGACTCTGCTGCACGCCGTTTCAGCATTTTTCTCAGCGTGAGGGAGACGTGGAAGAGTGCCACCGTCGGGTAGGACGGGTCGGCCCGGAGCATCGGAGTAGCCGTCGTGGTCGCGGCGAGCAGCGCCGGCCACTCCGGCGCCGCGTCGGCAACATGGGAGCATGTCCACCGCCACTTCGCGGTCGCAGCGCTGTATTGTCGCCAAACGCCGCCATGTACCTTTTCGGGCAAACCATCGAGCTGCATATCGATTTCGACTTGACGGGCGCATGGAGGCATCGCGTCTCCATGCGCCCGTCAAGTCGGAACCAGTCTGCGGCGACCACAGCGACCTAGAAAGGTACATGGCGAGCTTTTCAGAGTCAAGCGATTGCGCGAAATCCCACAGTGGTGCATTTTGGGGCGCTGTGGGCCCCCTACTGGGAGAGGGGCGGCAAGCGACGGGCGGGTCCGCGACCTTTTGAGCGCGCATGAGCTCGCCGGGACGTCGCCGATGGCTTGGCGCGCCTCTTCCCGCCAGCGCGGGACGGCCTGCCTACAGGAGGGAGGGGGGGGAGACGGAACTGAGCCCTAGGTTCGTGATCCTGTCGCCGGCAAGGGCTGGGAGAGGGGCGGCAAGCGACGGGCGGGTCCGCGACCTTTTGAGCGCCCATGAGCCGGCAGGGAGGCCGGCGATGGCTCGGCCAGCTCCTTCCCGGCGGGTTCGTCGGGCCGTGCCTGGTCGGCGGGGCTCGGGTGAGGTGAGCGGGCCCGGGAGTCGCATCTGCGCGTCCCCGGCAGTGGCAGTGTGGGGGTAGATGGGAAGTGCGGAGATGGGAGGCAACGCGCCTGTTTGATGGCCGCACGAGGCAAAATTGGGCGCTCCGAGCGTCTTCTCGGCGAGAACGAACGGGCTGTGGATCGTCGGGGGGGTGACTGAGAGGGAGGTGGTCGTGTGCTCACTTTGTCGGCCGCGCGCGAGGTGAATACTGGGTCTGAGGCGCGCAGGAGGCGAGGGTGGGCGCGCCGGCGGTCGAGCCACCGAAGAATTCGACGTGGCGCAGCTCCGCGCCGGCGGGGACGACCGAGCACATGCTGTCGGCGGCGGTCACGCGACGAGCGAGAGCCGCAGGAGCCCTCTGAGAGCCAGGCGCGCGAACGCGGCGATGAGTGGCGCTTCGATCAGCCAAGGATTGGGATGACTGGGTGGAGAGACTGGTACGACCGTACCTGGGTATGGCGAAGGCTGGTGGCTAGGGTTAGCTGGGCGCGCACGGCGAGTCCAGTCACATTGCCGCCCCGCAACAGCGATATGAGTGGTCTCTCAGTGCGCGCTCTGCGTCCCTAGAACGTAGCGTGGCGTTGGTGCTGGAAGCAGTAAAATGGTACTATATGAGGCGGTGAAGCGCATTCGTCGTCAATTTTGCAAGCCCGGGCTTGCAAAGCCGTTCGAAGCGCCTGATTCGAGCGAGTGGAGGCAGGTTCGAGACCTGGTGGGGGGGTTTGGGGGGGTCGCCCGTCGCCCATCGGACCATCAAGGGATCCATCAAATCCGTCGAATCTGTCGACATCTGTCGACAGCTGGCGCGGCTGGTGCCGGCCGCTGCGCCAGAATTTTTTTGTGCTGAGCACAGGGTTGGTTGTGCCGGGCCGCCCCCGCGAGAGAAACTCGTCAGTAAAACTCTCGGGCGGCCCGGCTGTCTGAGGCTGGCACGCAGTGGCAAAAGCCCGCGGCTCGTCGCCAAGGAGTTACGAAGTTTTTCGATGGAAATATTTAAGGTACAGTAAGCTAAGCCTAAGGAGTTTAAGCCGTGTAAGGTGAGGTAAGGTAAAAAACTCCATCAACACTGAACAGTAAGAGCTCTACCTCTCAAGGCTAGAGGACACATACCTTGAGGCGGTAGATAGAACACTGTACGACCTTCGTACGACTGTTTTATTTGGACATATGTGCACATGCGGTGGGTCTTGGGTGAGCCAAACATCTTGGCGGGGCGATCGGCAGTCGCCCACAGCTCACAACGTCACATGGACTGTGTGAGCCTCGTGGGCGGGTAAGCGCGGGCGGCCCCCCGACGGCCACGCGCGAGCCCGGCGGCATGCTCTCGACAGCCTGTGCTGGGCCGGCCGTCCTCGGGCGAACGGCACGCGCAACTCGCCTCGGGGCGCCGCGCCGTGGCCAGCAGCCCGTCGCCCCTGCGACACGGCCGGACGGCGCGGGCTGCCCAACATCTAGGGGCGAGGCCGAGCGGGACTACGCCAGGCCCTACGCTCTCCACTAGCATTCAAATAATCTTGCCAGTTTCACTCGCTCCGCGTCTTCCTTCATCGCGCCGTACTTTCCGGCCAATTCCGCGGCGGTAAAGCCGGCGCCGTCCCGCGCCGCGGTGCTCGATCCCGCGCCCAGAAGCAGGCGGATGCACTCTTCGTTGCCGTTGGCAGCTGCTTCGTGCAATGGAGTCCTCTGGTTGTCGTTTCGCGTCACCTCCACGTCGGCCTTGCTCTGCAGCAGAAACGACAACGTTCGGTGGTGGCCATTCTTCGCTGCGACGCCGACGGCGGAAAGCCCAAGGCCCGGTGTTTTGTAGAGCACGTGCGCCGCATCCGTCCGCTCGACGATGTAGCGCACCAGACTTATGTTGCCCCAATTGGCTGAAATCGTGAGAGGCGTCATGCCGTACTTGTTGACAGCGCCGATGTCGAAGCCCAACTCCTCGATCAAGAAGCGAAATAGCGCCAAATTGCCGACGATGGCGGCGTACCAAGCCCAGCACTCGTCCGGCGGCCAGGCGTACTCGCCGCGATGCAGCAGCCACGCCTTGACGGCGTCCTCGGAGCCGTCCAGCGCGCCCTCCCAGTAGCTCTGGTCGTGCTCCTCGTCGGCCAAGTCGGCGAAGATGTACGCCTCGGCCCCCACGAGCAGGAAGAATGAGTGGTACGCGCCTCCGTCCGCGCCGTCGGCGCTCGCGATGTACCGCTCCCACATCGGGCGCGGCAACTCGCCTGACTCGACCAGGGGCTCCCACACGGAGCGCAAGGAGTCCAATGCGCTATGGTAGAGCTCGCGAATCACGGCGTGAAGGCCCTCGCGGTCGCTCAGCCTCGCAAAGTCGCCCGTGAGCACGGCCTTGCGCCGTTGCCAGCCAAGGTTGAGGCGGTCGTGGAAGCACTGCGTCGACGCCGACGGCTCCTCGCCTAGATGGTGTGTCAAGTAGATGGGCCGCCCTTCGCTCATGCGGGTCAAGTCAAGCGCCAGCGCCTCCATCCGGCACCAACCGCGCATCAACCACGTGTCGAAATTGCATTGGTGGCCACTCTCGCGGCGCACACCCAACGGAGTGCACACCCAGAAGTTAGAGGCCTGCGCGACGTAGGTGGGGATGGAGGTAATCGCCTTCGCTTGCTCCTCCTCCGCCCCTGCCTTTTGCGGGACGGAGAAGTAATCCAGCCAAACCCAACCCTCCGACACTGAGCGCTGGAACTCCTCGAACGTCCGCTCTCGCGTAGTGAGGACGTCACTCGAGGACGAGCGAGCGCGCGACCGACCGGTGAGAAACTTTGCGGCGACATCGTCATCGGCGAAAATGTTCTCGCCTCTGATGACGCGCCTGAAGACTTCCTGCATCGTCCGCAGGTGTACCGAGTCCGGATCGGGATGGCGAGTCGAAATCCACTGGTGGCTAACGAAGTTGATTGACGGCGCCTCCAATCGGTCGGCGCGCATGATGAGCCCTTTTACCAAGAGGTCTTCATGAGAACGCAGAGTTTCTAGCGCGAGGAAGTCGCCCACCCTCATGCAGTACAGTGGAAACGAAGCCATCGTCTTGCACAGCACAATCGGGACGTCTTTCAACTGTTGGAGTCGGCGCCGCGGGTGGCGCGCGGCGTGTGAGAGAGGATCGCAGAGGACATGAAAGGCCCGCGGGCGGTCGCCGCGCTTGAGCTCTGCTCTCTACCCAGGTACCTGTATGGATTTCCAGCAAAAACAACTCTCGAGGCTCTCGAGGTGGATATCCTTTGGCCGCGTTGGGTAGCGAGGATTGGTGTAACCCGAGCCACGGAGGCGTGTTTTCTGGCGGCCGACCGTCAGTGCACGGAGTTGCCACTTCTCCGACTGCCCCGGCTAGTTCCCGAGGTCGTCGGGTGTGACCCCTTCGTCCCCCGAGGAGGTGGCGGCGGAGGTGGCGGCGGCGGAGGCAGCGGCGGAGGCGGCGGCTGTAGAGGCGGCAGTGGCGGCAGTGGCGGCGGCGGAGGCTCAACAGGCGGCGGCAGCGGAGGCGGCGGCAGCGGCGGCGGCAGCGGCAGCAGCGTCGGCTGCGGCGAGTGTCGCCGCCCTCGCCTGCTCGACGAGCGCGGCAATGGCTACCTCGCCGACGTGGGCCTCGCGCGGCAGAGGCGACGGCCGGCAGCAATGGACAGGTGTCGCACCTGTCGACGGAGCGCATCTTCGGAAAGCCTGGCTACATTGATCAGATCATTCTCAACGACAACCAGGCTTCGCAGCTCACTGACGGCTTCGCACTCGGCATCACGCTTCTCGTCGCCCTGACCGGCCGCGGCGCCGTCGGCTTGCTCAACGCGTGCGAGGATGAATTGGAGGAGCCCGACACGGCGGAGGGCATCGCGGCGGCCGACGCGGGCTGGTCGGCAGCGCAGGCCGAGAAGCTGGCGCGGCTCGTGGTCGGGCTGGCATACGAGAGGAGCGGATGCCGCTCGCGGAGGCATTGCCGCGGCTCGAGGCGCTGGCCGAAGCGGCGGAGGCTGAGATTCCGAGCCTTGCAGGGGCGGCGGCAGCCGAGCCGGACGGGAGGCGCGCCAGTTTGACCTCTGCTACGACCATAAAGAAAACGAAGCACAACGTCCACGAGAAAAACGCACGCCGCCGGTCCACTCCACGCCGTGGGGCCAACGCACAAAGACTACGTCGGGGTACAACATGGCAAGACTACGACCGACCCGATCGGCAAAACTAAAAGGCAGCGCAGTGCGCGTCTACTAACGTGGAGACGCGGGTCCTCCGCTCTTTGCCACCGACGACCGGTGCACTCCACACACTCAACGCTGTGCCCCGCTAGTTTGCTCGCGGCTGCTCAACCCCGCCAGCCTATGCCACCAGGCCGGAAGAGATGATCCGTGCCAGCGGCTAAAGCGATTGGATCATGCCCAGCTCGTCGTCTAGCAGCTGAGTTCTCCTTCGCGGTTGGCAATCTGCAAGGCGCCCCCGCACGCATTGAGGTCCAGGTGGGAAGTCATCGACCCGCGTCCCCCGAACGTGCCGCAAGTGCACGTGAGGTGGTTGTTGGCACAGGTGCACTCGCTGCACGTGTCAATGAATGAGAAGGATTCCCACGGGGCCCATTGTTCCCACGGGGCCCAATATTCAAGCGGTTGCATGTCATCAATGTCTTCAATGAATGCTTGCTTTGACAGGTAACTCCGACGAAGCTTGTCCAACGGGATCTGCTCGCACTTGTCTGTGTTGCTGTCCACAAACAGCTGGCAGACGAACCGCCCCTCATTCACGTTGACAAAGTTGGACGTAGCGGCCGAGACGTAGCCGGAGTAGTGCACGCACGGGTGTCCATCCCACGCAGTCTCGCCGTCACTGCAGTGCCGGTGCTCCTCCACCTTGAAGACGGAGATGCCCCAAGCCTGATCGCCCTGCTCCGGGCCGCACGTCGACGTCGGCTCGAGCAGCGCGATGTTCTTGTGATCCCACGCGCTCGAGACCAGCGCGTCCGCCTCTGCCGCGTCGCCCTCGATGGTCTTTGCGAGGTGGTGCGGGAAGTCGGTGAATTTGACCGCCGTCTGCGGGTAGTAGTTGAAGGATATGTCGGCCATGAAGTGGGCCGCGGTATCGCCCTCCGTCTCGCTCGCCTCGACGTCGCGCTCCTTCATCACGACGTTGAGGTTCGAGCAGAAGCCGGAGGTGGCGATCAGCCAGGCGGGGTCGTCGACCACGTCGGGCACGGGAGAGGGCTTGGGCGCAAAGGCGAGGCCGCGAGCGGCTGGCTTGACGTCGTGGACGGTGTTGGCCTGCGCACGCGGTGTAGGCTCAGCCTGCCGGTGTGAGTATGCGTGGCGGGGTGGAGCGACGCACCGGCAGGGCAGACGCCGAGAGCGCGACGAGCAGAAGCGAGGCAATCTTCAGCATGGCCGTCCAAGATGTACCCCGCGAGATGTACCCTAGGCCCCTCGGGCGCGGTAGGGAACTGGCCGTACCGCGTACCGCTTCACACCGAGGGCGCCGTACCGATACCGCTAGGCTCTCCGGCGCCCCGTACCGCTACCCTGTAGCGAGAAAACAGTTCGCCGTACCGTCAGTCGCGACGGGAGGCGTTGTCGCCCCGAGATCCGCCTCGCAAAGTGCGTGCGGCGGCGCGTGTGGCATCAGCGTCGCCGAGAGCGCCGTGGAGGCCGTGAGCGAACGAGATGGGAATCGCCGAGTATTGTCACTCGCTTTTTCTCGTGCCTCTTTCTCCTTTACCTTCTTACAGCTTCCCTCCGTTAACTTTGAACATGCAACTTTGTCGCCGACGATCACCTTCCACTCGAACGCTGCTGCTCAATCGGCTGCTCACGAGCGCCGGAGAGCAGCGACAACTGCCCCTTTGGCGTCGAGTGCTGTGCCCGAAGGTGGGTGCGCAAGCTTCTGGGTGGGTCTGGAGAGGGGCCATTTTCATGTGCTTGCTCGTACATAGGCTACGCTGGAGTGCCGCAACGCCAAGCGGTCGACGGCACGCTCTCCGTCAACAATGCCTCCTTTGCCCCTCCTTGCGATAGGCAGCGGCTCGTCGCAAAGATGCTCCTCTCCCATGACATGCGGTACACCGCCACAGGCATCACTGAGCGCGACGACCGCTGCGGCACGCGACCGTCTGGCGAGCTGCGCTCGCCCACGCCGGCTGTGCACATGCACATGCACATGCTACATGTTGTTGTTGTGCATGTGTCGATATTTCGCGCATAAGCTTGCTCATGCACACTACTAGCAGCATGGCGTTCAAGAAATTGAAAAAAAGAAAAAAGAAAAAACAGGGGACGCAGAAGCCGACAATGCTGTGCGTTCTCACCCACTACGCTGTGGTGGTTTGTGTGCGGGTTGTTCTGGGAGGCCTACCTCCCGTCATCTTAGAAGTTTTCTGAAGAATTCTATGTATGTATGTAGGAAGGTGAAGAACAGTCAGGCTCGGACTGGACACCAACGCGGTATGGGTGGACGCAAGACAGATGATGACGACACGCACGAGCGACACACAGACACAAACAAGCTCACAAGACACACAGCCAGCGGGCTGCCACACATCCTGAGTTGGCGTACACATCACTCAGGCCACGTCCCCCCTGTCGCCCCCCCCAGCACTCCAAGGTGCCAAGAGACAAACAACAGCACAACAACACAGACAGGCGACAGGGTCGAACGTGTGAGACTAGAGCAGGCTTGCTCCGCCTCTAGCAATCTCGTCGCCGGCCGCAAGGCACGGACGAGACCGTGTGTGGGGTCTTGTGAGGTGTCTATGGACGCCCTCCTCACAGGCTATTGGCCAGCCGCTAGCCCTAACTCGCACTCATGGGTGACGACAGTTCATTGGATGAGTGGTTGCGAGCAGAGGCGCGTTGCCAAGGAGCTTACCAACGAGGCGCTTCGCAGTGGCGGCCGCAAGGCGCCCTCCAAAGGCAACAAGGTCGGAAGACGCAAGAACCACAAATGCTGGCGAGAGGCGATCCGTTTTGTCGCCGTCAGCCAACCAGGGGCCGGCGCCTTCCTCAACGCCATCCCCATGCGTGATGATATGAAGATGGAGTCCTGGGCGATGCGCGTCGGGAGAGCGGCATTGTGCATGGTGCGGAGTGCATTGCCGTTCTTAACGGAGTCGCTTAGGCGGCTCCGGTGGTGAGCCGGTGTGTGTGCCAGTCCGCGCCAGTCCGCGCCCTTGTCGTGCCAGTGTGCTGTGAGAGAGGCTTGTATTTTAAGAATTCTTCCCCGCATAGAAGAATTCCCGAGGCCGCGTATTTACTGGGAAGCGTCAGCCGAACACACAAATGCTGTGCGTGCTCACCCACTGCGGCTTCTCGCCTCCCAACGCGTTTGCTTCTCGCCTCCACGCCGACCACCAGCATGTTCGCACCTCGCATATGACGATGGTTGACTCGTGGTACGACGCCGGCCAGCGACTCAGCACCGCAGCCGCGATGAGAGCAGCGAGCCCCGCTGCCGGCGGATCCTCCCGTCTCGAAGCCGAGCTCGAATCGACCAAGGCGGCGCTGCTGAAAGTCGCTCTCCTGAGCGGTCGTGGTGCGTGGGCGCGGCCGTCAGAGCGGGTCGCCGCTGCGCAGCTCGTCGAGAGCTTGGAGCAAGCGGCGGAGCAGGGCGGCGGGGAGGCGCCCTCCCTGCGGGACGGGACGTGGGAGCTCGTCCTCTCGGACGTGGAGCCCTTCCGTGCCTCCACCTTCTTCCTCGCGCTCGGCGAGGCGGTCGAGGCGCTGATTCAGAAGGGCGCGTCCGACGGGGCGCTGACCGTGCACGCGCTCGCGACGGGCGGCGGCGAGGTCGGCCGCGTGGCTCACGTCGTGGAAGGCGGCGGCGGCTTCGTCTGCACTTGTCGATCCCACGCGCCGAGGTCACCCGAGATCGTCCGATGGCAGGCGGCGGCGGTCGGCTCCATTCCCTCGTCGAGCTCAAGAGCGGCTCGCTGCGCCCTAGAAGCGGAAGACGTGTTCTTGCATTCCGCTGCACTGTCCCTGTACTCGCCTCCCTCGTGTCCACGCGTTGCTCTGATATTCCAACTACCGCTCGAGAGGACGCGCATTCCGCTGCACTCACTCTACTCGCCTCCCTCGTGTCCACGGCGGTGCTCTGACATACCCCGCACAGTACTCCCCTTCCCGCCCACGCCGGTGCATTCGCCACGTAGGTTCGCTGCCCTCCCTCCCCCTCGCCCTGGCCGGCGTGGTGGTGAGCAGCGGCGAGCTGCAGGCTGGTTAACTCATTCACTCATTCACTACTTAGTTAATTAATTATTAGCTCGCGGGCCGACTCCCGGTGTGATCTCACCCCGCTCGTCGGCCTCGTAAGGCTGCGCGGGCGGGCGGCGGCGTCTTCGACCTCAGACTCGTCAACACCAGCGTGCAGCAAAACGAGGTGCGGACCCCGAGATCGCCCGAGATCACCCGAGATTGCCCGCGATTGCCGGAGATCACCCGAGATTGCCCGAGATTGGCTGCAGGTGCGGTACGGTCTGCCGACGGAGGGCGGGCTGGCGCCGGGCGTGGAGAGGAGCGCGCTCTAGAGTCTGGCTCAGCACGGGATGCTATGCAGCTGTCTTCGGCCGTATATTCCGCCGTATTCATTGTACACTCGTAGCCCGTGTATTCACGCGGTGCCGCCCCCACCCTGATACTCTTCCAGATCTGTAGGAGCCTTCTCTCGTGGATCGGCGACCAGACCGTGCCGAGCGGGGAGGTGTTTTCGCGCGTGCTGGAGCCGCTCGGCGGCGGCCCCTCCGCGCAGCTCCGCCTCAGCTACTCGGACGGCGAGCGGGGGAAGGGGGGGGGGAGGCGCGCACGTCTCTGCGATCGGCCGAGACGGCTCGAGATTGTCGCGAGGTTAGGCGAGCTGATGGTCTGGCGCGCGCCCAAGCTCGGCGACCACTTCTTCGTGTTTGTGCGGGGCGAGGAGGAGACGTGGCCGGCGATGGAGGAGACGCGGCGGCGGCAGGCCAGCTCCGCCACGCAAAGCGCGGTCGGCTCCGCCTTCGCGCTCGGGATGCTCAACCCCTTCTTCTCGCGAGCCGCCGGAGCGCGCAAGTCGTGAGGGCCGCACACGTCGCACCCACCACACGTGCATTTGCGTTTCTGCATTACGTTGGCGATTGTGTGCGCACTCTCGTCACGCGATTTTCTCTCGTATCATAACAAAGAGAAATATTTTAGCTGAACTTCGTTTTCTTGTTTTCTCATATTTGGAGGAGGTGGGAGTTGGAGGTGATGGGGATGATGCGTGATGGTTGTGACTTGTGTCGGCGAGCAGCTCTACGGTGAAGGTCTTGGCGGATTCGATCATCTGCCTGAGGACGACTTCCTTTCTCTGGTAGGACGGGAACGAGATGGTAGTAGGGAGTAGAAGAAAGCAAAGAGGAGCCCTGCGCACGCACGACTCCGCAGGAGCAGCCCCTCCCCAGACAAAAGACAAGGGAGAGGTGGGTGGGTCACAGAAAACCACGGCCGCCAGCGACTGAGGCTCCCACGTTGCCCGCCAAAAGAAAGCGAATTGTTGACTTGGGCCCTCGGGGAGGCCTGCGGGCGGCCTTCTCTCGAGGTCTCGAGATACACGGAGCGGCCAAACTCCCACGTGTCGCAAGGCCAAGGAACTCGTACGTCCCCCGGCGCAAGCTCCCCTTTCGCGACGTAATGGCAGACGCCACAGCGGTCGTGCTCGCCCTGTCCACTCTTGGAGCTCTGTACCGCTGGCCGGACCTGAGGCCGGTGGCTGCTCGCCTGCTCAGATGGTTCGGAGGCTTCTTCCTCGCGCTGCTTGTCCTGACGATTCTCTGCATCGTTGTTGCGGACGTCGAAGCACTGCAAAAAAGAAGCCCTCTCTACACCGCTGCCCGAGCCGGTAACCGCCCTCGAGTCGTCGAGCTTCTCCAGTACCAGCATGTGCGCAGCGACATCCACGTGGGCAGGCGGATTGGCTTTGGTATGCTCGGCTCGGAAACGCCGCTGTGTGCTGCCGCCCAGAATGGCCACACAGAGGTGGTGGCGGCACTGCTGAAGGCGGGCGCCAACCCGAACACTCCCTGGACGCTTGGCCTCGGTATGCTCGGCTCGGGCACGCCGCTGATTGCTGCCGCCGCCCAAGGCCACACGGAGGTGGTGGCGGAGCTGCTGAAGGCGGGTGCCAACCCGAACACTCCCGACACGTTTGGCCTCGGCATGCTCTTGTCGGACACGCCGCTGCACGCTGCCGCCCAGAATGGCCACACAGAAATGGTGGCGGAGCTGCTGAAGGCGGGCGCCAACCCGAACACTCCCTCCACGCTTGGCCTCGGCATACTCGCCTCGGCCACGCCGCTGTTTGTTGCCGCCGTGAATGGCCACACAGTGGTGGTGGCGGAGCTGCTGAAGGCGGGCGCCAACCCGAACACTCCCTCCACGTTTGCCCTCGGCATACTCGCCTCGGGCACGCCGCTGTGTGCTGCGAACGTCACCTGGAGCCTCTGGTTGGGTAGAGACACCTGGCATGGCCACACTGAGGTGGTGGCGGCGCTGCTGAAGGCGGGTGCCAACCCAAACACTCCCTATACGGTTGACCTCGGCATGCTCTACTCGGAAACGCCGCTGCATGCTGCCGCCGATAACGGCCACACAGAGGTGGTGGCGGAGCTGCTGAAGGCGGGCGCCAACCCGAGCACTCCCTTCACGCTTGGCCTCGGCATGCTCTTCTCGGGCACGCCGCTGCATGCTGCCTCCTTTAAAGGCCACACCGAGATAAAGGCACTGCTGCTGAAGGCTGGTGCCGACAGTTGATGGGAACGTTGGGTCGGTGGACGGTGCGGCGCACTGTACACAACGTCGCGGTGGGTGGCTAGAGAGTCAAGCGGCGCTTCACTAGACACTATACGTAAAGCCGTTGACGACAGTGCTCAGTGGTTACTCACATTCGTTTCGCTTTCGGAGGGGTACGCTCTTCTACACGGTCCGCCGGGCGATATCGTTCCCTCGTTCGGAACTCACATCTCACAATCTCTTTCGTGTATCTCTTTCAAAAGCGGTATCTCTGTCCCCCCTGTGTTGATCTCAGGTCGAGCTTGCGCACGATAGCGCAGAGTGGGCGGAGCAGTCCCCCTCCCCCCGCAGGAACGCGTGGGCCGCAATCTCCGAGAGTCCGATCCGCTCTACAGCGGCGTCCGCGGTCATGCGACGCACCAGCTCCGCCACCCCAGCAGGCAGCTCCTCCGGCTCTCGCGTCGCCGGCGCGGGCCCGGCCGCCGCCGCCCAGCAGCAGCCGCCGCCGCCGCCGACCTGGGCATAGTGCATAGAGCCGTATAGGCGGTGCCGGAGGACGCATGCGACGCCGTTCTCAGGGTGGGTCGTCGAGAAATGTGGCGCCGGAGTGTGTGAGCAGAGAGGAGGTATGTGTGTGTCGGGCGCAGTGTACTGCGCTGCTGCCGCCACACCTGCTCCACGCGCCCTCGCGCCTCCTCGGCGGCTAGGACCGGCGCCGGCGCTCTGCCGAGCAGCAAGTAGCGCAGCACGAGCCCGAGCGAGAAGACGTCGAGCCGCGCCGCCTACGATCTCGGCCAATCTCGGCTCATCTCGGCCGATCTCGCCGTCCGGGCGCTGCGTAGTACATCCTCATGCACCTGCGTTATATGCAGACTACACGACATCAACTACCACCAAGCCAGTTCCTAGACGAGTCCCTGATAATGAGACTACAGTCGTTCCCAGCGTGTCTCCTGCCCCCGGTCAACATCTCAACATGCCGCGAGCGAGGTGGATTTCAGCCACGCCCCCCGTCGCTAGTCGCTTGGGCCGTGGATAGGCGGCCAGATGTCTTGGCATTAAGGATGCCTACTACTGCTGCTACGTCTAGCTGCCTCGCCTCCGCCGCCGAGAGGCTAGTTAGGTGATTAATTAAGCAGTAATGGAGAAGTCTAGCTGCCTCGCCTCCGCCGCCGAGAGGCTCATGCTGCTCGTGCGCGTCAGAATCGCCGCGCGCACCTGCGACCGTGCGCGCGGGGGGAGCAAGCACGCCGTCGCTGTCGCTGTCGCTCTATCTATCAAGGGCTGGCGTGGGTCCAGACCACCCCTCGCAGCTGGCCAGCTCCACCTTCTCTCGGCCCAGTCACGCTGCACTCTCGGTGACTCTCTCCGCTAGCATCGGCGACTCTCGGCGACGCCTCTGGCGAGAGGTAGATAGCGTGCTAGTTCATTAACAATTAAGTACGATGGTCGTAATTAGTTATTATCTAGCACGCCTCTGGCGAGAGGTAGGGCGGGGCACTTCATTCATTAAAAATTAGCAACTATTTATACGATGAAGCACGACTCTGGCGAGAGGTGAGCGAGTTGCTTCATTCAGGCTTAATTAATTAATTAAGGCACGCCTCTGGCGAGAGGTAGAGCGTGTTACTTCATTAGCAATTAGGTAATTAGCAATTAATTAAGGCACGCCTCTGGCGAGAGGTAGAGCGTGTTGCCGTGCGCAGAGAGGTCGTGCCGCTCCTAGTCACCCATTCACACCGCTAGTGAGTTAAGCCTTTGGTGAGAGGTCCGCATGTCCGGGCTTGGCCGAGGTTGGCCGAGGATGTCCGAGGTTGGCCGAGGTTGGCCGAGGTTGGCCGAGGTTGGTCGAGGATGTCCGAGGTTGGTCCAGATCGATCGACATTGGCCGAGATTGGTCGAGATTCGCCGAGGATGTCCGAGATTGGTCGAGATTGGTCGCAGCTGTCCGAGATTCGCCGCGAAAGGGAAGCGAGGGGGCGGCAGTACTATTCCTAGTACTAGACGTAGTAGATGTGTGGCGCAGCGCCCAGAGGGGCCAGGAGCTAGCATGTTCTCCTGCGCCCCCCTCACCCCGCCTCCGTCCAGCGCCTCTGCCGAAAAGGCGACGCGTCCGCCGAGCCCGCCGCTGCCGCCTCCGCCGCCGCCATCCTCGCTGCCCCCCTTCTTCTCCCCGCGTCTGCCGCCGCCGCTCTCGCCCCTCTTCTCCCCTCCGCCTCCGCTCTCGCCCCCCTTCTCTCCTCCGCCCTCGCCAGAGCGTCGAGAGGCGGCGGCGGGGGACCCGCCCCGTCGGCTGGGCGACCCCTCGCCGCGGCGTCGGGAGGGCGCCTAGCATGACTCCGCACGCGTCCATGAATGAAGTCGCTCCACCGCCCTCCGGCCGTACCTTTACGGTAAACCAGAGGGCTGCGGGGTCACTTCACACTCCCAAGGGGCTGGCGCCTAGCATGAAGCAACCGCGCGCCGTGTGCGGTTCGCTGGCCATGGGCTGCCTCTGATCCGCAAACTGGGAGGGGAGCGAGAGAGCGCCGGCGGGGAGATGCACGGGAAGGGCAGCAGCCGCGCGAGCCCAAAGTCGATCAGCTTCACCTGCAGTCAGTCAGTCAGTGTTACACACGTCCTAGCATGAAAGACGGGGCGCACGCACTCGCGGAGCACACGCGGGGGCGTGACACGCGAGGCGGTGTGTGCGTTCTCAGGGAAAGGCATCACCACGCAGACAAAAGTGCAATCGTCCGAGAGAGGGGCCGCAGTGGCGACAAGCACCTGCGGCACAGCACTCAGCAGCATCAGGGTGTCTCGGAGTCGCAAGGCTGGCCGCGCCCCGACCCGGACACTCGCGAGCCGGAGGTGTGCTCGCAGGCGTGCGGTTCTCTGGAACTGCACGCTCCCGAGGCGTGTGTTTGTGCAACAAGCCTCCTCGCGCTCGTTGCGCGCTGCTGGCTGACCAGTCACTGCCCTCTTGGTCCGCGCCACGACCCGCGCGAGCGGTTTGACAAGTGATTTGACTGACACGCAGGGACGGCGGAGGCGGGCCTGTCACCTGCTCCTCGCGCAAGCTCGAGCGGCGCAGGTCGGAGATCGGCGAGGCGAAGCAGATGTTAGACGGCTTGACGTCGCGGTGCACGATGCCACGTGAGTGGAGGTGGAGCAGCGCGTCGACACACTGGCGCAGCACGGCCGCAGCCTCGCAGAGCTCAGTCGCGCCCCGCTTGGCGAGCACGAGCTGCAGGTCGGGGCCTGGTGAGAGTGGGACAGCTTAGAGACGAGCGCGGCGGTGCAGTATTTCAAAGATATGGTTCCTCT